GTGCATTAGCAGGTGCATGACTAATAGAACAAAGGAGATGCTGCTCCCCCTCCAACTGCGGCCTGACCAGTGCCACATAGAGTAGTGTGTGCAGTTTTGGGCGCCGCACTTCAAGAGGGACGCAGAGAATTTGGAGAGGGTCCAGAGGAGGCCACTCGCATGATTAGTGGCCTTTGTGATAGACCCTATGGGGGGAGGTTGAGAGAGCTGAATCTCTTCATCCTTCACAAGAGACGGCTTAGGGGAGATCTTGTGGCCGCCTATAAATTTATTAGGAGAGGTCAATGGGGAATAGGGGAAGCGCTGTTTACTAGGGCGCCCCAGGGAGTGACTAGGAATAATGGGTGTAAACTAGTTGAGAGTGGATTTAGGTTAGATATTAGGAAGAAATTTTTCACAGTAAGGGTGACCAGGATCTGGAATGGGCTTCCAAGAGAGGTGGTTGTTATCACCTAGCTTGGAGGTCTTCAAAAGGAGGCTAGATAGTCACCTGGCTGGGGTCATCTGACCTCGGTCTTCTTTCCTGCCAGGGGCAGGGGGTCAGACACGATGATCCACTGTGGTCCCTTCCAACTCTACAATCTATGAATCTATGAATTCAGCAAAACAGGATCTCAATAGATCTAAAATGACACCTTAGTGCAGCAGGGACCAACATTTTTGGCAAGCACTGACCTTCTCCCCCATGCTCTCTTCCCCACCCTGCCGAGTACCACTGATCTCCTTCCCCTGCCCAATCTGCTGTTCTGCTTTCTGCCCTATCTGCCACTGTACTCCCTGTCCCCCAGGGCCTCCATCTGCCACGCTACCCATGTCATTTCTAGCACATGTGCCACAAGCTGACCACCCCTGACTTACTGTGTAAGCTGCTAGGAGGCTTATTTCTGTAAAACTATTATGACAAGGGCAGAATTAAATTAGAAGGCTTTGAAAAAAATGGTTACTTACAAGGCTGTTTTTCAACAGCTTCAATGATGTTCTCGATGGCATTTTCCAGCTCTAATTCCCCGACAGACTGAAGAGATTCAGTGAGATACTTAATGGCATCACTGGTGTAAATAGAAAAGTTAGCCAAGAAAGGAAATGAAGAGTCAGTAAACAAAATATATACTTTACAACACTACACTACTATAGTATATCATTTGATGTACATAAAGTGTTATACAGCTTGTGGTTATTTGAAAGGAAAAGGGTGGAAATAACAAGCCTAGTCCTGCATCCTTATCAGTCAAAGAGTCTCTGAAATGAAAATCCCTAAAAAAACCACCAAAATTAAATGTGAAACAAGCCCTAGCAACCTGATCTGTGGGAAGAGGCTCATATTATAATCCTGTCCTACCTCCCCCACCCCCACAAACCCCGTGTGGGCTTTTTAGAGAAGACTATTTCAAGTTTGACATTTTATAAATAAAGAACCGTCTTTGGAAGACACTTCCATTATTTAAATGTATAGGGTGCTAAGGCCGTGGTGTAAATAAAATCTTCAAAACATTATCCAAATAATTTTTCTTAGTGTCTCTGCAGTGCCAGAAGATGAAAGGCCAAAGAAACACAGAATTATAGAAAATGAGGGCTGAAGGGGCCTCAGGAGGTCACACCTAGTCCAACCGCTGCTCCAAGCAGGACCAGCCCCAACTGCATCATCCCGGCCCAAGTTTTGTCAACCGGGACCTTGAAAACCTCCAAGGATAGAGACTGCACCACCTCTCTGGGTAACCTGTTCCAGTGCTTCACAGCAACAAGAGGAGGATCAGGGGAAGTGTGGGTCCTTTACTGAATCGGGGAGGCAACCTAGTGACAGATGTTGCGGAAAAGGCTGAAGTGCTCGATGCCTTTCACCTCAGTCTTCACAGGCTACTGCACCAAGCAGCAGTTTGGGGAGGAGGTGAGCAGCCCGCAGTGGTGAAAGAACAGGGTAGGGACTACTTAGAAAAGTCACTGTCCTCAGTGGGGGCAGATGACAGAACAAGGAGCTCCAGATGCAGCAAGGGAAGTTTGGTTTGGATATGAGGAAAACCTCTCTTGTTAAGAAGGTAGTAAAACACTTGAACAGGTTACCTAGAGAGGTGGTGGACTCTCCATCCTTGGAGGCTTTTAAGACCCAGCTCAAGAAAGCCCAGCCCATCCTGGCTGGGATGATCTACTTGAGGCTGGTCCTGCACGGAGGATGCAGTTGGACTAAATGACCTCTGGAGGTCCCTTCCAACCCGCATTTTCTATGATAACTTTTCTCACCAGGAAGGTTTTCCTAACATCCAACCTCAACTTCCCTTGCTGCAGCCTGAGCCCATTGCTCCTTGTCCTGCCATCTGCCCCCGCTGAGACCAGCCCAGCTCCATCCTCTTTGCAGCCCCCCTGCAGGGAGGTGAAGGCTGCTATTCAATCCCCCTCGGTCTTCTCCTCTCCAGACTCAGTCAGCCCAGCTCCCCCAGCCTCTCCTCACCAGCGCTGTCCCCAGCCCCGCAAACCATTGCTGTTTCCTCCGCGGACTCTCCGACGTCTTTACACCCATTCTACGGGGGGAGGGGAAGGGGCAAAACCGGACAAGGTATGAACAAGATGAGTAGAAAACCAGGAGAAGGAAGTCAAGGGAAAGAAAAATACACGGGGAAAACATTCTCCGACTTGGACCAAATCTTAAAAGCCACGAGGGCTCCCTTCCTCACTCCCAGTCCCGTTGGTCCCGTGGGAAAGGAGCTGCGAGCCAGCCCCCCGTCCGCACGCCGGCCCTCGCGGACAGCACGGGGACCGGGCAGCCCCCTGCCAGTCGCGCTGCTCCCCGCACCCGTGTCAGGGCGGGGCCGAGAGCGGAGCCGCCCCCCTCCCCCCCGGCC